GSKSYTCCCTGCATCCCGGGGCTGTTCCCTGCATCCCGGGGCTATTCTGCATCCCGGGGCTTCTCCCCGCATCCCGGAGCTCCCTCCATCCCGGGCTCCCTCCATCCCGGGGCTGCTCCCTGCATTCCAGAGCTCTCTCCATCCCAGGGCCGCCCCCCGCATCCCAGGGCTGTCCCCTGCATCCCAAAGCTCCCTCCATCTCGGGGTTCCCTCTCACATCCCGGGGCTCCCTCCATCCCGGGGCCGCTCCCCTCATCCCGTGCCCCAGCTGGCGCCGGGAGGGATGCTCGGGGGGGTCGGTGCCTGCATTTAACTCCCTGGCTGCGGAGTGAAACCCGCAGAAGAGCGAGTGTGCGTGTGTCACTCAGCATCCTGAACCAATGGGTGCCCGGTAGGAGGTCTGCGCTCCCGGTGCACGCACGGAGCCGGGGGCTCCTTCTGCCAGTTGTGTGCGAGCGTGTGTGCGTGTGCAAGGGGAAATCAGACACACTGACTGCCTGCTCCCGTCTCTCCCCCTCTCCCCAGCTCGCTAACTCCGTCTCCCTCCCTCTGCAAACATTGGATTTAAACCTGCTCAGAATTCAGCGCAGACCGAGAGCAGCGGCGGCAGCAGCAAGCAGCGAGCGAACCAGCCGCTCGCCTACCGCGGCTCCAAGATGTACCATCCTGCCTGCTGGATCGTCTTCACGGCYACCACTGCCCTGCTCTTCATCCCAGGTAGATTTTTCCCCGGCGGATGGGAGGGCAGGGGCCGGCGGGGTGGGAGAGCGGAGCGGGCTCCGTGCGCGGGGGACCCGGCTCCGCGCACATTGCGCACCAAGGCGCGCATGCAGGCAGGCAGGCGGCGAGTTGCTCTGCAGCAGGGGATTGCCCAGCGCTCCCGGGGAGCCCTGCTGGACCCCCAGATGGGCACCGAACCGCYGCTACCCGAGCGGTGCCGGCACCCGCAGTGGGGGCTGGCCGGGATGGCACACAGCCCCGAGCCGGGCTGGGTCTGTCCCCTCGGGCAACCTCTGCCTCCAAATGATGGGCWCATGCAGTTTTTCCCCTTCAGAGTTGGGCACCTGCTGTGCTTCCCTCCTTTGAGAGCTGTCATGCTATTCCCTGCGCTCCCCTCATCGGCGCTTCCCCGATTCCTGCCGGGCAAACTCGGCGCCTTCCCCTCTCTCCCTTCCACAAAGTGAAAACGAACCCCCCGCCTCAATCCCGGCTCCCGGGGAGGCCGTGCCGGTGCCGCAAGCTCCSCCAGCCGAGCGGGTGGCTCCCGAAATGTGGGCTGGCCTGGTCCCCACGGCTTTGCCKGGGGAGATGCTGGGGCTGCTCCCAGCGCTGTTTCCAGCGCTGATGCTGTCGGGGCAGCGAGCGCTGCATGCACCGRGGGTGATGGGGATGGACGGCAGAGCTGAGCGCCGCGGGGAGGGAGTCACCGGCGTGTTTCTGATGATGGTGTGCACTTCCAGCAGCTGGAAAGATTATCGTCCCTGTGCGAGCAGATGGGGACTGGGTGCCGAGGCTCTGATTCGATCTTAAACCCAACATGTGTTTTTMATGACTGCCGGGGAGAATTCCGTTGGACTCGGGAGGGCAGGGAGAGGCACGGCTGTGATTTCAGCMGCTTCCCTTGGTTTAGTTACAGCGCTTTGCTGTGCGGGGCTGGTGTGTGGCTGGTGGGGGAGAGGTTACCCGTGTCACAGCTGGCGAGCAGCTTTTCACACAGCAGTGCTGAACACAGGGSTTCTCGGGCTAAAACTTGCTTTTGGAGGGACCAGCCACATCCTGGGCTCCTGTGGAGCTGTCACAGTACAACCTGAGCAGATCAGAGCCCCTGGCATGGGCTGGGTGCCACTCCRTGGGATGGCAGGGGGTGGGATGAGCATCAGCCYTGGGATCRGAGCTGTCACCTGAGCTGAGCCTTGGCTGCTTGGGAGCAGTGGTGGAGAACCCCTGCCAGCAGAGCCTCGAGCTCCTCAGCAACACCAGGGAACCAAAATGGTGCATCTGTAGCTCAGCACGTGAGCACGAGGGAGCCGTGGCTCTGTGAGCTGCCTGACTTTGTGCATGTCAAGGGTTTTTTTCTGAAAACAGATCTTGAGCAGGACAGGATGGGCGTGCCTGGTGTGGGGGCAGATGTGCCCAGTTTGGGGGCAGATGTGCAGGGTGTGGGGGCAGATGTGCTTGGCTTGGGGGCAGATGTACTGGGTGTGGGGGCAGATGTGCCTTTTTTGGGGGCAGATGTGCCGAATGTGGGGGCAAGTGTGCCGAATGTGGGGGCAGATGTGCACAGTTTGGGGGCAGATGTGCTCAGTTTGGGGTCAGATGTGCCCAATTTGGGGACAGATGTGCCAAATTTGGGGGCAGATTACCCAATCTGGGGGCAGATTACCCAGTTTGGGGGGTGGGTTACCCAGTTTGGGGGGCAGATGTGCCTGGCTGGGGACAGATGTGCCTCAGCAAGGCTGTTCTGAATGGAGCACTGGCTCTCCCACCCTGTGCTGGATGAGGTTCTGCAGGTTGGAAATGCAAAGGAATGGGTTGGAGCAGCCATGCAGGCCAAATGGGAGGACGTGTGACACTTGATGGGCTGTCATCAAGATGTCCTTAAGCTGCAGGAGCTGGCAGAGGCCTGACAGGGCTCGTTTGCTGTGTGCCACTGCCCTGCTGCAGCCTCCTCAGGACAAGGCTGTTTGGGCCAAGGCCAAGCYGGGCCCTGGGCTGGCTCTGGCCTCTGTGAGTGCCAGGGAAGGAAAAAGCCCCTTGCATTTAAGCTGCTGGAAACTTGGGAGAGGCTTCTTGATCCGCACTTATGTGGTTGTAGCTTTCCCTTCTTATTTCTATTAAGCAGCAATATCTGCTTTGGCTTTGGATGTCCCCTGAGCTAAACCAGCCCAGGACTTTGCCTGGCTGGGCTCAGCCCTTAATCCATCGAGCCAAACCCTTCTGCCTGCATTAAAGGAAGGGAAATATCCCAATGTGCTGAGCTGCTTGGTGCTTTTTTGCCTTCCTGCCCCAGATTTGAACATCTCCAATCCTTTTTTTATTTGTGCCTGGCTCGTGGAGGTTGGGTATTTTCCCTCTCTGTCCAACCTGTCCCAGCAGTGATTTCAGTCATGATTTCACTGCCGTGGGCTGGAACACGAATCAYGTTGGCCAAGTCATGGATGGCAAATGGTCCCTGCTGCCTCTTGGAGCCTGCACCTTCCCAAGGTGGCTTTTTTGGGGGGCTGTTTATTATTTGCAGGCATTATCCCAAGTGTTTCATGCAGGTGACGCTCCCCTGGGATATGCAGAGGCTGTTTCTGAAGTGTGGGCTCTTTTCCCTTTCCGTTTTTATCCRAATCCTGCGGGAGTTTCGCACGGGGTGGTTAAAGTGAGAAGGGAACCTGCTTTTAGAAGGTGTAATTAGAGTGAAGGGAAACATCACAACTTGAAGGCTCCTGCAGAAAATAGCATCGCTAAGTTATTATTAGCTGTAATAGCTTATTTGCCAGTTTTTCCTCTTTCTCCTGCTCCCACCTCTGTCCTTCCCCCCTTCTCTTATTTTTGTTAGGAAAGATGCATTTTCCCCATTGGGCCTCGTGTCGTCTCGTTACCAATTTACTCTCGTGGAATCTAAAGACACRAAAGGTTAATGCAATAATGAAACCCTGACCCTTCTGGTCATGGAGAGCGTCTTACTCTGCAGCTTTTTATTTCTTTGTAAGACAAGTTTCTGTCTAAAATAATTTCGAAGGCTTAATGCTGTTGTCATCTGGAGCCTCGGGGGGAGGCRGGCTCCTGGACATGGGTTGCTCTCTGAGGTGGGAAGGATGCTGAGGATTTTTAATGAGCCCAGCACTGCAGGATAGGGAGGTGAGTGGGTAATTTAATTGTCAAGCTGTTGGCAAACGCTTTGAACTGCTGGGCATTGTGGGTGCTGCTGTTTTGAGATGAGGGTGGGCTGCGGTGGAGAGWGAATTTGGGGCACGGGGAAATCTATTTGGCTGAGCTGCAGTTACAGGGTGACATCATGGCTCTACAGGTGGCAAAAATCAATGCTCATCAGCCTCTTCAGACATTTATATCGCTGCCTTTGCAGGCTTGGGGAAATTACTTGTCATGGCAGTGGCTCCTTTCAGAGGTCAGGAATCTGGTAGTGCAGGGTGAGATGGACAATCCTGTTTTTCACTGCTCCTGGGCAGTGGGTTCAAGGTGAAGCTTGTAGAGTGTCCCCCAGTGCTCTGCCATCACCCCTTGCACCCAGGACCTGCTGTGTGCATCCTCCCAGAGACTCTGTGTGACCCCATCCTCGCTGGGACAGCCTGGCTATGGTATTGGTTGTAAAACCAGCCTAAATTTACAAAACAGACATTGCAGGCATTAAAAACCCATCCCTTCCTGCTGGGCTCTTTGCTGCAGGAGCACACTTTTCCCACTGCTTGTGACATGACCATCACCTCTCCTGGTGGGGAATGCCAGGCTGGTGCAGGGCTGCTGATCCCTGCCACTAAACCCGAGAATAAGTACCTGGAGCACATTAGTTCTGCTTTCGTGTCATTTCAATATGAGCAAGARGGACTTAAAGGGATTTTCTGTGCTCTCCCAAAGGCTGGGGATCGGTGTGGATAAGGCACTGAAAGTGTCAGTCTTCCACRAGTCAGAGAATCTGGGGAAGAGTTCCCAGCAGGATGGGGTGTGAGCCCAAAAACACTGCCTGATATTCCTCTGCCTCTCCCYGAGCCTTGGCCTCTGTCAGAGGGGGATTTCTCCATCCCCTGGCTCCTGGGACGGGGAAAAGGTTGGTGTTGGCCTCTTATAGAATATTTTATTTCTACTGGGGAGGAGCAGCAGCGTTTGCTGTCATTTCCAAATGCTGTGGGGAGGCATCAGGAGGGGAGGAGAGGCACACACAGCCCTTGCTCCGTTCAAATCCCCCCACCTGCCCTGGGGGCTGTGGGTTTGGGGGCTGCTGCTGCCTTTCAGGATGCCCCAAAGTGCTGAACCTTGCTTTGCATTTTCCAGCAGCTTCTCTTTGACAGCGTCTCCTTTGTGCATTCCGCGGCTGCAGACGGCCGGGTGGAGGARCTTTTGCTGGTGCGAATCCCTGTGAAAAGCTGAAAAAGGAGAGACGTTTCAAAGGCACCGATGGGAGCTGTGTGCCTTAACTGGCGCCTTTGAAAACCTTCTCCAAAGGCTTGAATATTTGGTTATGGCGAATTTTGAGCTTCATAAACAGCTGTGTTCGTATTTTTKAATATGAAATTTGGAGTTTGTGCTTTGCTTGGTTAGAAACCAAAGTCATGGAGTGAGGCTGTCGGGGTRCTGTGGTGAGCCCTGACTTGTTTGGGGGGGGAGCAGGGTACCCAGGAGGATCCTTCTGCTGCAGTCAGATGGGGAGAGAGGAAAACTTGCTGGTTTTTATCTGTAATATCCTTCATGACCCTGTGGTCACCCTCAGCTTTACAGCCCTGCCCTTCCCCTCCCCATTCAGGCAAAACTGGGCACTGATCCTCAACCCTTCTTTACTTCCTGAGCATCCCCTGAGATGCTCCTGCTGCTGCCATGTGCGGGATGGGGAGTGATCTCAGCTGTCACACCTCTCCTTTTTTGTTTAAACTTAAAAATAATAACAGCTTTGCTGCGAATCTCCTTGCCTCCCAGTCATCTTCCCCTAATGAAGGCACGGTACTTATAATTACCGGAGCGGCAACAGCACATAACAGAGGTGGCTTTGACACTTG